GTGGGGGCGTGTTAGAACGAGCTGTTTTAGGGGGGTGTGGCAGAGTCTTAACTTTGATAAAGAATATCTCTTTGGTTTTGAGACTTTAGTCTTTGCAACTTCAGGGATCTTATCTATTCACGAACAGCTTGTAACACTCCAAAGAGAAAGGAAAACTTGAAATCGCATCATATGACCCCTTTAATAACGTCTTAATGCTGGATTTGTTTCAGCTTTTGTCTTCTCTAGATGTTAACTGATGGACAGTGCTGTGGATTACTTGTGGATTATTGTGATGTTTTTATCAGCTGTTTGGACTCTCATTCTGACGGCACCCATTCACTGCAGAGCATCCATTGCTGAGACACTGATGCAGTGCTACATTTCTCCAAACCTGATGAAGAAACAAACTCATCTACATCTGGGATGATCAGTGAGGACGTTTAAATTTTTGGGTGAACTATTCCTTTAACACTGAGGACAATTATTTATTTTTTATTTTTTTGTAAAGTCTTAAAGGGATAGTTCACAGAAAAAATTATCGTTCGGTCATCACCCTCATGCTTTTCCAACCTGTATGACTTTTTTTAATGGAAAAATATCTTGAAGTTTTCAGTGTTTTTTTTTTTCCACATAATGGAAGTCAATAGTCACGAAAAACAGATGAACCCAAATCCTTTAAAATATCTTATGTAGGCTCTAACTTTAGTTTCTTCTATGAAACCTGTTTAGAACAGACAGAATCTTAACTTTTAGTTGAACTGTCCCTTTAGATGTGATAACATAGAACACGTGTTATGATTACGGGCCTCTGGTGCTTTGGTGTTGCTTTTCTCAAACTCTTGACATCCCTTGATCACTGTTGTCTGACATGGAGCAGCTTGGAGTTTCTGCCAGATCTGTTGTTTCACAGAATCGGGTCATGTCTTTTTGCCTGATTGATGTTTTGTGTGTTTGGTATTTTCCTCACCTCTGTCCTGTGTTTTTCTGTTGGCAGCATGAGAGGCGAGGACAGCCTGCTGTCTGTGGTTGTTGATTTGAGGCAAGCCAACCTCGCCATCGCACGCTTCATCGCTGAAACTCTCCTGTTGTTGGAGGTATTCATTGCGTTATTATTCTGTCTCGTGTAGTGTCATGCTGGCTTTTCTATAAGTATCATTTGGTCTCTAACCCGGTCATCTCCTCCTGCACATGTATAATGTTTTGTGGTTTAATCAGCTCGAAGCATTAGTGTACTACAGTAACTATTCTATATCACAATGTAGTTAATTTTGTTTAAATAAGGTCTTTGATATCGACTTTTGATACCATAGTAGTTTCATAACTCTTGTCACCAGTGTCAATATCACAAACTAATACTAGCCTAAATAAAAAAAAATGTTGCTTTTCTCAAACTCTTGACATCCCTTGATCACTGTTGTCTGACATGGAGCAGCTTGGAGTTTCTGCCAGATCTGTTGTTTCACAGAATCGGGTCATGTCTTTTTGCCTGATTGATGTTTTGTGTGTTTGGTATTTTCCTCACCTCTGTCCTGTGTTTTTCTGTTGGCAGCATGAGAGGCGAGGACAGCCTGCTGTCTGTGGTTGTTGATTTGAGGCAAGCCAACCTCGCCATCACACGCTTCATCGCTGAAACTCTCCTGTTGTTGGAGGTATTCATTGCGTTATTATTCTGTCTCGTGTAGTGTCATTCTGGCTTTTCTATAAGTATCATTTGGTCTCTAACCCGGTCATCTCCTCCTGCACATATATAATGTTTTGTGGTTTAATCAGCTCGAAGCATTAGTGTACTACACTATTAATCCAACAGTTTGCCGTGATTGACACTAGATGTGTGCTGAAAGGAGTAGCGTGTTCATGTTTATTCCCTCTTCGTGTGACTGAGACACACATCATTGTGTTTATAGCTCTAGATATTGTCCTTGTACCAAGCCTTGAACGTTCTTTGGCGACACCGAACAGCTCTAAGAAAATGAAATTGAGTGGTTGGTGATAATGTCACGCATCATGCTGTCCTTCAGAGACTTCATACAGTGCACTTCAGTCCAAACCTGCAGCTGCGTCTCTCACTGATCAGGGTATGGTAGAGAAAAGGTCTGTGGTGTTCCCTTTTGATAAACTTCAGCACCCTTAGTGCATTGATTCAGTCTGACTGATACAAGAATGCAGAGTTTCCATCTGGAGTTTTAACAAAAGCCCTGTCTGTAGCTGTCAAAAGCCAATCAACAAAAACGATGCTTTTTGTCATTCTGCATACTTTTGTTGACCAATAAACTGGTTTGTTTGGGTGCAGGTAGTACTGAATACATTGTTCACTTAGATGTGCTGCCGTAGCAAATACAAAGCTGTCTGAAAATTGGCACGTTTATTCTTTAATGACCATTTTCCAGATTTCTCTCAAAAATAAAGTATTTGTTCATCAATCTCTGTTATGGTTGTGAATGAAGATGTTAGCCAGAATTAAGGGTGGCCAATATGTCCAAAATCGTGTATAATAGTCATTTTATTTTACAGTAACTATTCTATATCACAATGTAGTTAATTTTGTTTAAATAAGGTCTTTGATATCGACTTTTGATACCATAGTAGTTTCATAACTCTTGTCACCAGTGTCAATATCACAAACTAATACTAGCCTAAATAACAAAAAAAAACTAAAGCTAACTAAATAAGAATAAGAAACTAATTATAAGCAATAAGACAAAAAAACTACAGTAGAACAAATAAGAAATGCTGCATTGTATAAAGTTATCAAATCTATGAAAACACTGCATATTTTTCACTGTGTAAATCAAATATATATATTTCTTATAAAAGTTACAAAAGTGATTTAGTCAAGAGCAGTGAGAGATTTTCTGTTGTTGTTGGATTAACATGAATGACAGACAGCTGGAATATTAGACTGCTGTCACTTTAAGAGCTGCCCGGATCCAATATACTGTTACACGCATGTTTTATTTCTCCCCTGTTTGCTGCTTTCACTTAAGACCTAAATGACGGTGTTTACAAGTGTCTTCACGTGCGAGCACCTCTCTAATGACAGCGCTCAGAAACTGTCTCAGACAGCACGCGCATATAGCAAAATGAGTTCGGTTTCACTGCTTATTGTTTCAACGGCTTAAAATCACTTGTTTTAAACCGCAATGCTGAAACGCATGCAAATGACAGGTTTTCGTGACAACGTAGCATAGAAACGTCACGTGAGCAGGTAACCACAGTATATCTCCCACCCCTAGCCAGAATGGATGCTGAGTGTTTTCTAGACGGTGAAAGTCAAGCTGCAAAAAAATAGTCCAACCTCACTTTAGCTTGTTTAACTAAACAAACAGTTTATGTCCGTGGTGTTTACTCGGTTGGGCTGTTTTACCCCTGCTTGCTGCCATTTTTGCTTTTCAGGAACAATTTAAGCCAATCACCTGTCCTGTAAGTGTCATGTGACTGACTCTAGAGCACCGACTGTGTGGTGCAGATCAGCTCCTTCACTCCTGCCCGTAATATTCAAGCAACCCTGAAGACTTTGGCTCAGTTTCTCAGATGTTTTTGTTTGGTGTTTGCAGATAAACTCTAGGGATGCAACAATGCAGTTAGTCCACGGTTCAATACATACCTCGGTTTTTAACCACGGTGTTCTGTTCTGATAGCTTGGCACATCAGAGTATTTTTTCTTATGAGAGGGGTATTATTTTTCAGATTTTTACCTAAAATCAGATGGATTGGCCATTGAGTGCTATAAACACATGTAATGTTTCATTCATACTGGACTCCAGAGGGCGCCCTCGTGCAGAAACTCCACATATGCATCACAGAAGTAATAGAACTGATGACGTTCCAGGAAATCCCTAATATGGATAAAGGCATCACTATGGCTGTAACTGAATAAAAAGAAGATATAACGTTAAACGTTTTGAATGATAAAATGTAAGGACAATAAACACTTGCCTGCAGCAATATATGATTTATCTGTGTTCAAGCCATCTTGGGTGTTTTCATAATGATTAAGTATATTTGTAAGCCATTTCTAATCGACATAGCCTTTATTACAGTATAGCATATGTTTTCTGCCTCATTCTGGGATAGGAAGCCACATCAGATCACAAAATGAAGTTATTTCAAACACTCGACTGATGTTGTGAAGTAAAAACAAGTTATAATGTTCTCTTTTGTTGAGCAACAGGTTTAGAAAGGCTTCTCATTGCATGTCATTACAAGGGAAGATGCTCGGCGTATGTTGCTTTTTCAAATATAAGCTGGGAGGTGTTTCCTCATCTCAGCATGTGAACACACACACACACACACACACACACACACACACGAGTGTAATAAAACACACAGATATTTAAACTCAAAACAAAAAACTGTAGTTCACGAGCGCGTATTGAACAGTGGATGTTGTACCGAACGGTTCGATATTATATTGAGAATTGTGACATCCCTAGAAGGAACACTTTAAAATCTCTCACCCTTTTAAGAGCTTCCACAAAATATCAGACAAGAAAACATCTATAATGAAATATTTAAATGTTGCTTGCAATAGATTTTCAATTCAGACTTGTTGAATGGCCATTGGCCATCAAAAGGGGCTTTTTGTAACTGAGTTGTGAGGTTACTGAATCTACCAGCAGGGCTGAACTATCAACTATCAGTCATGGGACTGTGATGAATGTATAATTGGTTTCAAAACAGGACTGTGAATGGGTCTTGTGAGCTCTGGCACAGGGCAAGATCAGTGAATGCTGTTTCCATCATTGACGTCAAACCTGGCATGATGCAGCTTCATGTGCCAAAATTTAACATGCGCGCAAATGAGTTGTTGGAGCTACAGTTGTTTAGCGAACTTCATTTCTGTTTAAATCAGATGGGCTTTGTTTAGGAGATTGGCAGTGGAATTTGTTTCTATGCATGGCGATTTATAGATGCCCGTTTTATTTCATGCTGGATTTTTGGGTGAGCTCTTCCTCTGCGTTTGTGATGGTCTTGTGAAGCTCTAGTTTTGCGCTTGCGACGAGGCTGAGATCTTGAGACGGCGCAGGCCAAGAGCTGAGGGTCACATGTCTGCTCTTATCTAATAATGGAGGCGAGTGGACAGCCCTTGTCCTTAACATGGACAAAGAAAACTCACAGCCCTGCATTACTGAGTCACTGAGCTTCCCTGAGCCTACACAGCGTCTGCTGTACTGTCCTGTGTTGTGTAGGTTTCCAGAAGGATCATCCACTCTGTGTATATTGTTCAACCAAAGAAGAAAGATGTCCTGAAGCAGCTGGGGAAACTCCTGACACCGAGTGGCTCCAAGCAGCACAGACCCGTCCTCTTCAAAGTGAGTAACACATCTGAATGAAGAGTCAAGACCTTCACTTCCGCATATTCCACACCTCTGCTCTGTCGCAATGGGTAAAATATAGGGTTTCCCCCACCTTTGTGAACTTTTGAATGACTGAGTTTGAATAACGAGAATCACCAAAAAAAACACAAACATGAATGAACATCAGGCGGTGTTTAAAGAAACAGAACAGCTTACTGGAATGAATTGTGCCTCATGTAATCAGACGATCAGGGTTTCAGCTCGTGTCAGTGCTCATAAGCTGTTAGTTGGCTTGAAAAGTACTTTAGAGAGGAGTATATCTGAATAAATCCATCGTGAGCATGAGATATGACAGCCACCATTAAAACGATTATACATTGAGACTGAAATGAGAAAGATGTGATTTCTCGGTCAAAGCCACTTATTTTCCTTAAAGGGGTGGTTGATTGCGATTTCACTTTTTTAACGTTAGTTAGTGTAATGTTGCTGTTGGAGCATAAACAATATCTGCAAAGTTGCAGCGCTGAAGGTTCAATACAAACGGAGATATCGTCTTTTAAAATTCTGGCAGTTTAATGCCTACAAAAACGACTGGTAGGGACTACAACGAGCTTATTCACAGGTCCGTTACGTCACGAACCCAGATAGACCCCGCCTCCGGGAACACGCAGCAAAGGGGGCGAGGCCATGCTGCGCTGCTAGAGAAGAGGAAGAGAAAACTAGAGGTGCATGTAAAAATCTGTTCATATATGAATCACGATTCTGTCTTCTAACGATTCTAATGGATTCACAAGTTTCAAAATCAATGTTCTAATAGAACTGATGACGTTCCAGGAAATCCCTAATATGGATAAAGGCATCACTATGGCTGTAACTGAATAAAAAGAAGATATAACGTTAAACGTTTTGAATGATAAAATGTAAGGACAATAAACACTTGCCTGCAGCAATATATGATTTATCTGTGTTCAAGCCATCTTGGGTGTTTTCATAATGATTAAGTATATTTGTAAGCCATTTCTAATCGACATAGCCTTTATTACAGTATAGCATATGTTTTCTGCCTCATTCTGGGATAGGAAGCCACATCAGATCACAAAATGAAGTTATTTCAAACACTCGACTGATGTTGTGAAGTAAAAACAAGTTATAATGTTCTCTTTTGTTGAGCAACAGGTTTAGAAAGGCTTCTCATTGCATGTCATTACAAGGGAAGATGCTCGGCGTATGTTGCTTTTTCAAATATAAGCTGGGAGGTGTTTCCTCATCTCAGCATGTGAACACACACACACACACACACACACAGCCATTTCTGAGTGTAATAAAACACACAGATATTTAAACTCAAAACAAAAAACTGTAGTTCATGAGCGCGTATTGAACAGTGGATGTTGTACCGAACGGTTCGATATTATATTGAGAATTGTGACATCCCTAGAAGGAACACTTTAAAATCTCTCACCCTTTTAAGAGCTTCCACAAAATATCAGACAAGAAAACATCTATAATGAAATATTTAAATGTTGCTTGCAATAGATTTTCAATTCAGACTTGTTGAATGGCCATCAATTGAAGAAAGGGGCTTTTTGTAACTGAGTTGTGAGGTTACTGAATCTACCAGCAGGGCTGAACTATCAGTTGTCTGTCATGGGACTGTGATGAATGTATAATTGGTTTCAAAACAGGACTGTGAATGGGTCTTGTGAGCTCTGGCACAGGGCAAGATCAGTGAATGCTGTTTCCATCATTGACGTCAAACCTGGCATGATGCAGCTTCATGTGCCAAAATTTAACATGCGCGCAAATGAGTTGTTGGAGCTACAGTTGTTTAGCGAACTTCATTTCTGTTTAAATCAGATGGGCTTTGTTTAGGAGATTGGCAGTGGAATTTGTTTCTATGCATGGCGATTTATAGATGCCCGTTTTATTTCATGCTGGATTTTTGGGTGAGCTCTTCCTCTGCGTTTGTGATGGTCTTGTGAAGCTCTAGTTTTGCGCTTGCGACGAGGCTGAGATCTTGAGACGGCGCAGGCCAAGAGCTGAGGGTCACATGTCTGCTCTTATCTAATAATGGAGGCGAGTGGACAGCCCTTGTCCTTAACATGGACAAAGAAAACTCACAGCCCTGCATTACTGAGTCACTGAGCTTCCCTGAGCCTACACAGCGTCTGCTGTACTGTCCTGTGTTGTGTAGGTTTCCAGAAGGATCATCCACTCTGTGTATATTGTTCAACCAAAGAAGAAAGATGTCCTGAAGCAGCTGGGGAAACTCCTGACACCGAGTGGCTCCAAGCAGCACAGACCCGTCCTCTTCAAAGTGAGTAACACATCTGAATGAAGAGTCAAGACCTTCACTTCCGCATATTCCACACCTCTGCTCTGTCGCAATGGGTAAAATATAGGGTTTCCCCCACCTTTGTGAACTTTTGAATGACTGAGTTTGAATAACGAGAATCACCAAAAAAAACACAAACATGAATGAACATCAGGCGGTGTTTAAAGAAACAGAACAGCTTACTGGAATGAATTGTGCCTCATGTAATCAGACGATCAGGGTTTCAGCTCGTGTCAGTGCTCATAAGCTGTTAGTTGGCTTGAAAAGTACTTTAGAGAGGAGTATATCTGAATAAATCCATCGTGAGCATGAGATATGACAGCCACCATTAAAACGATTATACATTGAGACTGAAATGAGAAAGATGTGATTTCTCGGTCAAAGCCACTTATTTTCCTTAAAGGGGTGGTTGATTGCGATTTCACTTTTTTAACGTTAG